TTCTCAGTCAGCACCTCATCGGAATCTGCACCTCAGGACTTCAGTGAAAGATGACCAGCCACATTCTCTGGTCTCTGATTCACTTTGTGAGAGACCACTGGAGCCCTCTCTGAGTTTTAAATGCCCAGGTAATGTTCTGGAATTCTCTCTTTCTGTGGACTGTTAAGTGGATACAGCATTCTAGATTCAGAATTCAACATCTTCAAATCAAGATCTTCAGAATTCTTTACACTCTTAATACATTACAGTATTTATATCTTAGGTGTTGCTTGCTTATTACAAATTTAGTGTGATTTAAATCTCAAGTTTGATAAATGCTAATGCATAGTGGGGGAACAAATATCGCTACACACTTAATGACCCCATAATTTGGGATCTCTGAAACCATTAGACTCAACCTTTTTCAGGCTTAAGACTATTTGGGATGTATTTCTGTATGTATGTATATGCCTTTTTCTGTATGTGTACATATGTTTTAGATGACTCCTAGCCAAATGCTGTATACATTTATTTAATAAGCGCACTTGAGCACCTCCAAGTAGACTATGCAGAGTTCTCGTGAACCTTGGTGTGAGTGACAAAAGGAGAACCATCCCAAACTGTGTGGCATTCAGAGTTCTGCTGGAAGGCTGCTCTGTTCGCCAGCGATTTGGGTGCTGAGAAGCGAGAGCTCACTGCCTGCACCTGGCTCAGACTTCAGATGTGGGTAGGCACATCCTCATTTCACAGAAAAGAAGAAAAAGTGGTGCGTTACCACCAAAAACCGGCATTGGTAGTGGAACTTTTGTCATTTTACATCCAGAAGGAAGTGAGAGTATCATTTTCTTATGAGATGAACTATCATTTTCTTAGTTGTGCTTGGTTTTTAAGTCCAGAACTAGAAAGGACTGTTAACCATGGGCCTCACCTGGAGGACCTCCTAGCCAGTGGCCATGATCACGCTGTCTCCAGCAGGTGATAAAGGTTTTATCTGCACAGTGATCTCCAAGTGGCAGAGAAGTGAAAACATCTCTTCTCACCAAGGCCTTGAGACTCTGATTTAATTTGTGTTTTGACAGCATTTCACACCCACGACTCTGGAGCATGTAAGTCACCTCAGGGTGATGCAGGTGGGTTGAAACCCGCCTGATACCGAGCTCGTGCCAGGTCTGCCCCCTCCCCCACTCACTGAGCTATGATTAAACTTTTACTGTAAGCCTTTCCAAGTGTGGAAACCTAGTCACTTCATTGTCATAGAAGGAGCCCTCACCCACGAATATTCAAGAATTCAGGGAGTGAAGTTAGAGGGGTGGGGGAAAAAGATTTTTTTTTCAAAGCATAAAGAGGAATGAAGGCAGTACACTTTCAGAGGCACCAAGATTGTGTACAGATTATTTACACCTCAAGAATCTACAACTTTAGATGCTCTGCCGGAGAAGGAGGCGCAATATCCTCCTGTACCAGTCAGATCTGATTTGACGGTACACGCACACAAAATAATAATAATAAAAAAAAAAGAATCTACAACTTTCAGTGCATATATCTTGGAAAAGAATTATTTTAACAAATGTCTACATGTCTGTGCCTCTACGTTGCTATGGATTTTAAGAAGTTTATAGAAAGCAAGTAGCCAAGGAAAAATATTAACTATTTAACTTTCCTGACTTCAAGCAGGGAATACTTCCTGCTGATTTATCTAGCACAATCAGAGCATTTGTTTAATGGGACAATGATTACATGTTTAAATCATGTCATTAGCTGATAGTGACTTAATTCACTTGGTGCAATAATGTTTTGGCATGTGGGAGGGAGAGAGTCTGTTTTCTGATAGTATTTGCTCTCATTCTCTGTTTCAGGGTCTATGGATGATGTGCTGGCCTCTCTGAGGAGCGGCAGGAGCCCTCTCAAGAAAGTGGATGTGTTTGCCTCACCCTAGTCCTGCACCTCCATCAAC